CACACACACACACGCACACTCACAAGAAGATCATACTCACAAACAAACACACATACGAGACACAGAAACACACACAAATAGACAGATGCAGAAAACACACACAAACATTGTAAAACAGAGGCACACAGATACACACACAGACAGTCACACACACACACACACACACTAAAAAGACACAAACACGCACACACACAATTACACACACGGACAGTCACACACACACACTCACTAAAAAGACACAAACACGCACACACACAATCACACACACAGACAGTCACACACACACACGCACCAAAAAGACACAAACACGCACACACACAATTACACACACAGACAGTCACACACACACACACACACACACACACCAAAAAGACACAAACACGCACACACACAATTACACACACAGACAGTCTCACACACACACACACACACCAAAAAGACACAAACACGCACACACACAATTACACACACAGACAGTCACACACACACACACACACACACCAAAAAGACACAAACACGCACACACACACACACACACACAGACAGTCACACACACACACACACACACACACACACACCTGGAGGCCTTTTTGGCTCATGTGAGGCATGGTAAAAACAATCATTGTTCAGCAAATGGATTCCGGCCTCCTGAACCTGCACACACCTACATTTAGAGAAGCTGTTGACACACCTGAACACAGGTAAAGTGCACACACACATTCAGCATCAGTGTTTCTGTGAGAGAATCACCATCTCGTCACTGAGATCCTCATCATCCCAGTGCTGGAGATCCAGCCGTTTCTCCAGTGTGTCTGCTCTGTAGATGTGTGTGTGTTTCTCCAGTGTGTCTGCTCTGTAGATGTGTGTGTGTTTCTCCAGTGTGTCTGCTCTGTAGATGTGTGTGTGTTTCTCCAGTGTGTCTGCTCTGTAGATGTGTGTGTGTGTGTGTGTGTGTGTGTGTGTGTGTGTGTTGAGAATAGCAGATCAGTTGCCCTTGCGCTCATCTGCTGCGTCTGAATCTGCTGCTGCTCCGTGTCTAACGCTCGAGATCCTGGAGTTCTGACCTTGTGAACCCGTAACCCGTGTGTACAGTACGGTTTAGCGCTGGTTCAGGTTTCAGGAGTATCTGCAGTGTGTTTCCTTCTGTGTGTCTTCTACAGACTGTGATTGGTCAGATCTGTCCAGCATAACTCTACTGATCCTCTAATTGGTGCTGGTGCTGGGGAACACTGTTCTGGGATCAGAGAGAGCAGATTCAGACAGCAGCTGTAGGTGCACACTTCATCACTGGAGGACTGCAGTGAGGAGTTTGGGATGTTTCAGCGCTGATGTTAGTTCTCTCTGTGTTTGCCCGGCGCTCCACGTGTCCTCGTTCACCCAGAGACGCAGGCATGAGTAAATGTTTGCCAGCACAGATTGCCTGTTCTCCTGTTCTGCTGTTCTGCTGCTCAGCTCAGTTGTCCTGCTGTTTGCTCCTTCATCTGATCCGCTGTGCTCTCCAGCATCTGTTGTGTAAATACAGTCTCCTGACAGCAGCTTCACGCCGAGAGATGAATATTACACCACCCGCACAGACAGAGCCTCCGCAAACAAAGACATTAGGCTAATTCTCCACGAGAGAGAGAGAGAGAGTTCTGCTCAGAGACCCGGCTAACCCCGCGCTCACCAATCTAACGCAGAGTCTGAGCATATCCAGCACACTTTAATTAAACGCACTGAAGCTCCGCCGGGAATCACTCTGCAGAGATTTAACTGCAGCTGGGAATAGAGTGCAAACACTGGCGGTGTGTGTGTGTGCGTGTGCGTGCGTGCGTGCGTGCGTGCGTGCGTGTGTGTGTGTGCGTGCGTGCGCGTATGTGTGTGTGTGTGTGTGTGCGCGTATGTGTGTGCATGTGTGTGTGTTTGCTCTTCACACATCAGCTGAAGAGACGTTCCTCAGTGAATGTGATCAGACTGATGCAGATGAGGAGGACGTCTCCCTCAGGCTCTGTTTACACTAGTGCGTTTTAGTTTTAGAACGGTGTTTTAGATCAAAAATGATCCGTGTCCACACCAGTGTTTCACCTAGCGTCTCTGAACATATCTCCATCCACTCTACGCCACCATAAACGTACATCATGTGATCATTGGCGCACTCTGGGCATGCGTGTTCTAGTATAAACAGGAAGCATGCGTCTCACTCGGCATTTGGTTATTGTTAGTCAACAAACGCCAGTTGAACAATGAACACGATGGCGAAGAAAGCAAGAGAGGTATATTTGTGGACAGACGACGAGGTCGAGTTGTTACTAAACGTAACAAATGAATAACTGCACAATGCTGCCTAAAACAGACAATAGTGCAAACAGCGCTCCCGTTTCTGTGCCCATGTTGTTGTTTACAGTACTGTCTTGCGGTAGTGTTAAAGCCGTGTGTTATAGTCATGTGATAGGGGCTTGACGAATAAGGGAAGGATACGCAATGACACAAAAGCCCCAATCAGCAAGCGAATCTCAGCAGCGCCTCCGTTTTCAGACGTCTCCGTTTTCCCTCATCCACACTGAGACGCAGCAGCAGCGCTTCAGAATGAACATGGCCTCTCCAGCGTTTCCAAAACACTCCTTTTTCGGCGTTTGAGAACTGCGGTGTAGTGTGGACGGATGGTGTAACCGTAGCAAAACTTACGCGTTTTAAAACGAAAATGCATAAGTGTAAACGGCCTCAGAGTTTACTCAGACACTGGCTCCAGTTAAAGGCTGTCAAGTCCATTTATCCTCAGTTTGAGTTCAGCCTCAGGTTCATTCATGTGGACAACACTAAATCTTATGTATCATACACACACACACACACACACACACACACACATATATATGACAGCACACCGTATACAGCTTAATAAATGTACATGTCATCGTTTTGCTGAATGTGTTGTGCTGTGTGTGCTGTCCTCTCTGCTGTCTCTGCTGTGGAGCTCTGATGTGTGAGATGATCGGCTAATGAAGATGAGTTTTATTTAGCTGAACTGAGTGTGTGTTGTTGCCATGGAAACACAGAAATGACACAACTTTGGGTCAAATGCAGAGAAGCCCAGCCGTCTGGAGTGATGGGCAGTAGTGTCCGCTGAATGACTGAATGCAGATCTATATTTCCCTGAAAACTCTCAACTCAACATTAGTTGGCAGTTCATTCCACTGTGGCGACCCAGATGAATAAAAGGACTAAGCTGAAAAGAAAATGCATGACTGAACAGTGATGTTCATATCCTCCGCTTTAAGAGAGAGTGTGTGTGTCAACGTCTCCAGTCTGCTGCACTCTCACACACATGCACACAGACAAAAACACACGTGGATATTGTGTGTGTGTGTGTGTGAGTGATGTACAGTGGTCTGACCTGTCTGTCTCCGCAGGGTTCCAGGCATCACCATAGCGACAGACATCATTTGTGGTTTCCCGGGAGAGACGGATGAGGACTTCGAGCAGACGCTGGCGCTGGTGCGGCGCTACCGCTTCCCCAGCCTGTTCATCAACCAGTTCTACCCGCGACCGGGCACCCCGGCGGCCCTGATGCAGCAGCTGCCCGCGCACGTGGTGAGAAACACACTACACAACAACCCAACACTGACAACAACACAACACAACCCTAACCCTGCCTGTGACTGGGCACACTGGCGGCCCACATTAACCCAACACTGACCCTGACCTGAGCATGTAGTAAGATACACATGACCCAGCACTGAGAATAACCCAACACTGACCCTGACCTGAGCATGTAGTAAGATACACGTGACCCAGCACTGAGAATAACCCAACACTGACCCTGAGCCGTGCAGATGGTGAGATCTGACCTCAGTGTGTGTTCAGACCAGCACTGCTCTGTCATTGAGAACTGTACATAACAGCAGTAGACACACACACACACACACACACACACACACACACACACACACACACACACACACTGCTGGACGTCTCCAGATTGGCAGTGTTGAACTCGAGCTCTGCAGATGTGTTGATCAGTGTTGTGGTGGTCTCGGAGCAGGAGAGTGATGTGAATATAAGCCGATCAGACACACTGATCTCGGGTCAGAGGTGGAGGACTGACGCCTGAGTTCTCTGTGTGTATAACCTCTCCATCTGAACACAGCGCTGATGCTGAGCTCACAGCTGACGCTCCTGTGTGTGTGTGTGTGTGTGTGTGTCCTCTGTCTCACTCTTCTCCTCTTCTGCCTCTCCCACAGAAGAAACAAAGAACCAAAGAACTGTCGGCGCTCTTCCACTCCTACAGGCCCTACGACCACAAGGTGAGAGCAGCGTCCGTGCACGTGTGCGTGCGTGCGTGCGTGCGTGCGTGCGTGCGTGCGTGTGTGTGTGTGTGTGTGTTCAGATTTGACCTGTTTCTCTCTGTGTGTGTGTGTGTGTTCTCTCAGATGGGCGAGCAGCAGCAGGTTCTGGTCACTGAGGAGTCCTTTGATTCGCAGTATTACGTCGCACACAACAAGTTCTATGAGCAGGTACTGCTGTGTCCTGTGCTAATGCTAATGCTAATGCTGTGTGTGTTTGTCCGTTGTTTTGCTAATGCTGTGCTGGTGCTGTCGTGTGGGTCAGAGGGTTTACTGTAGAGATTACACTGATGAGTGCAAAAGGCCGAGCTGAAGTAGCTCTCACTGACGCCCTGAACTGAGCTGTGCTTCATCACCATCACCATCACCATCATCATCTTCATCTTCATCATGACCCGCGTGTGTGAATCAGCATTATCCAGCGCTCACATGAGTCTGACATGAGGACAGGAGAGAGGACGCCCCAGCGCCGGTCGTCAGTGTCCAGCTCTGCAGGATGTGCTGTTCAGGTCTTCAGCAGCTGCAGCACATGTCTGAGGGAGCAGCTCAGGATACAGACGCCTCACAGCTCTGAGCATCACGCCAACACTGACCTGCATGACAGAGAGCTCACCAGCTGCATCCCTGTGCGTGTGCGTGTGTGTGCGTGTGTGTGTGTGATATGATTGTAATGTCCTGTAC